TTTTTTTTTTTTTTCCAATTTTTTTTAAATTCTAAAAATATCCTAGACCTGGCCAATGTAAGCTCTTTCAAGCTGGTTCCTGTGTTGTTATGATGTGTCCCCTTCATTTTTCTTGAGTACTTTCTTGTTTTTTTTTCTTTTTTGGAGATGGAGTCTAGCTCTGTCACACAGGCTGGAGTGCAATGGCATGATCTTGGCTCACTGCAGCCTCACCATCCTTGGTTCAAGTGGTTCTGGTGTCTCAGCCTAATTGCAGGTGCATGCCACCACACCTAGCTAATTTTTGTATTTTTAGTAGATGCAGGGTTTCACCATGTAGGCCAGGCTGGTCTCGAACTCCCGACCTCAAGTGATTTCGCCCACCTTGTGCTGGGATTACAGACGTGAGCCACTCTGCCCAGCCGCTTTCTTGCTTTTTGACATAACATGATGCCAGGTTTATATTATACCTACCCTGACCCGGTGTTGGCATCTAAGGATCCTTGAGTCTTTTTAGTGTGAAGTAGTGTTAGGGACCAAGACCCCAGGCATTAGATATCCTGTTTGCTACTTGGTTCTTTCACTGGAAAGAGCAAGAAATAAATGCATGTATATACATATCTACACATGTATACACATAAATATAATGTACATATAAACATGCATTATACATAGGCCAGTTTAACAAATGATGACAACACACATACTTAAATTGATGAAATTATTGAATTCAGGGTGTGCTAAGGGCAGACCCTGTGACATCACCGAGTACTTTTTCATTGAGCCAACATATGTTGAGTGACCTGGAAAGTGGTGGTTGGTTTTGTTTTTTGTCCCCCCGCACCCCACCCCAGATTTGAAGTTTGGAAGCCTCCACCTAGATTTCAGAGGAGAAAGTATTTGACCCTGGGGCTTCTATGATGAATAAGACAGATATGGTTCCTGGCAGGGCACAGTGGCTCACGCCTGTAATCCCAGCACTGGGAGGCTGAGGTGGGCAGATCACAAGGTGAGGAGATCAAGACCATCCTGGCCAACATGGTGAAACCGTTCCTATCTCTACTGAGATACAAAAAATTAGCCAGGCATGGTGGCACATATCTGTAGTCCCAGCTACTTGGAAGGCTAAGGCAGGAGAAGTGCTTGAACCTGGGAGGTGGAGGTTGCAGTGAGCTGAGATCGTGCCACTGCACTCCAGCCTGGCGACAGAGCAAGACTCTTGTCTCAAGAAAAAAAAGAAAAAAGACAAATCTGGTTCCTGTCTTACAGTTTGGAAAGGACAGCTAATTGTACAAATAATTCACCGTAATATGATGGGTACCTTTCTAGTTGGAATTGCATATGTATGTAGTCATTAAAGAAAGATGGGACAACCTGGAAGAATGGATCCATGTTTCAAGCAGAGAATGCTGGGTAGTGATTGCCTGCTAATTTTTCGGATTTTAGTAGAGACGGGGTTTCATCATGTTGGCCAGGATGGTCTCGATCCCCTGACCTTTGATCCGCCCACCTTGGCCTCCCAAAGTGCTAGGATTACAGGCATGAGCCACCTCACCCAGCCCACTGACATCTTATGAGAGCTCGTTTATGGCAGGAACGGCATCGTTCAACTTTTATCTCTAGTACTTAGCACAGTGCCTGTGCTTATTTTAGCGTGCTTTGATGACACTTAGGTAACTCATGTCTACAGGTAAACATGGTGTAGGGAACTACTCAGGTTGAATCCCAGCTCTACTTCTTCCTAAGTTGGTTATTTGGGATCTATCTCTAAGTCTTGGACTCCTGACCTATACAGTTGAGCTAATAGCATAATACCATAGGGTTGTTGTAAAGGTTAATTGAGATAATTCATATGCTTAGTACAGTGCCTAGTTCATGATAAATGCTCAATAAATGTTATGGGTTATTTTATATAAAAGTTTCAAAAAAAAGGAAATTAGTTAATTTAGGAGATTTAATAAATGTGTTTTTTTTGTTGTTTTTTGTTTGTTTGTTTGTTTTTTTGAGATGGAGTTTCGCTCTTGTTACCCAGGCTGGAGTGCAATGGCGCAATCTCGGCTCACCACAACCTCCGTCTCCTGGGTTCAGGCAGTTCTCCTGCCTCAGCCTCCTGAGTAGCTGGGATTACAGGCATGTGCCACCATGCCCAGCTAATTTTTTGTATTTTTAGTAGAGACGGGGTTTCACCATGTTGACCAGGATGGTCTCGATCTCTTGACCTCGTGATCCACCCGCCTCGGCCTCCCAAAGTGCTGGGATTACAGGCTTGAGCCACCGTGCCTGGCCAATAAATGTGTTTTAAAGAGTCTTGCTGAGTTGCCTAGACTGGAGTGCAGTGTCACGATCCTGGCTTACTGCAGCCTCAAACTCCTGAGCTCACGTGATAATCCTGCCCCAGCCTTTTGAGTAAGGATGATAGTGTAGTACCGTCACACTTGGCTACCTTTTTTTTTTTCTTTTGGTAGAGTTCAGATCTTGCCGTGTGCACCAGGCTGGTCTTGACCCTGGGCTCAAGCAGTCTTCCTGCCGTTGGCATCCCAGTGTGTTAGAATTCTAGATGTGAGCCACTGCACTTAACCCAGTCCACATTCTTAATGGATATTTGCTAATTCCTATTTCTTACCTTGTATTACAGTTTAAAATTGACTTTGTTACTTGTACTCTCAGTGTTGCTATAGCATATAGACAATGAACTCTTCAGCCACTTAACCAGTCTGACATTTAGCTTTTTCTGTAAAGTAGAAATAAGTAATCTCCCTCACAGGATTTTTATTGTGAAGATCAAATGTAATGTAAGACCAAATTTTGAAATAGCAAGGTACTGTATGAATATAGTTTCAGTTACTCAAGATTACCACTTGTATTCCCTGTTTTTTCCCTACCGTTTTATCCTGGGGATCCATGAAAAGCACAAGATTATGTGTTTCTTAGAATCATTCAGAGTAACAAATCACAAACATTAGGACTTTTGGAACCGAAACAAAATTTACAGAACCGTTAGTAAAAACTTCTTTTCTTTTTTTTGAGACCGAGTCTCGCTCTGTCACCAGGCTAGAGTGCAATGGCGTAATCTTGGCTCACTGCGACCTCTGCCTCCCAGGTTTAAGCGATTCTCCTGCCTCAGCCTCCCAAGTAGCTGGGGCTACAGGCGCATGCCACCATGCTCAGCTAATTTTTGTATTTTTAGTAGAGACGGGGTTTCACCATGTTGGCCAGGATGGTCTCGATCTCTTGACCTTGTGTGAGCCACCATGCCCGGCCTGTTTTTTATTTTCATAGATTTTTGGGGAACAGGTGGTGGTTGATTACATGAGTAAATTCTTTTTTGTTTGTTTGTTTTTGTTTTTGTGAGGCAGAGTTTCGCCCTGTCACCCAGACTGGAATGCACTGGTGTGC